GTTGGCTGTTAAAAATTTACTAGCACAACACTGCTTATAGGTTATATGTTTATAATAAATTGCTAATAAGAAAATATGAATAATGCATCATTTCATTTCACTCACACCCACTTAATTCCAGACTAGTATGACTCCATTCTGAGTCACACTCCAACAGCCTACAAAAAGTTTAGGCCGTTACCAATGCTTAATAGGAATACCCATTCATTGTTTGCTTCATTTTCTTAAATGCTTTGGTGGTAACTAGACAACTGAATTCCTATAATGTCTATGCTGATACTTTAAAATCATCCTGAAGTGCTACGTGACTGATCTTTCTGAAAGGTGACATTTCATTCCCGCCTAAATAGCTCACTTTCATGTAATTATACAAGAGGTTAGATCTCACCATGAGCTAGAAAAAGTAGGCAGGTAAGTTATTCTGCATGATAACAACCAGCACAATCATTCTGAGACTCTAAACATTAAGGAGAGGCTTACAACTTGAATGGTAGATGGTACACATATGTTTGATCTGGCTGCAATAAAAATGAAAGTAAAGGAACAAAAATAAAAAATAAAAAAAAGGAAATGAAATCCCAAGAATGAAAAGAATAAGATAAGAATCATTAAGAGCCGAAACCGGTTTGGCTCAGTGGATCGAGTGTCGGCCTGCAGACTGGAAGGTCCCAGGTTCGATTCCGGTCAAGGGCATGTACCTTGGTTGTGGGCACATCCCCAGTAGGGGATGTGCAAGAGGCAGCTGATCGATGTTTCTCTCTCATCGATGTTTCTGACTCTCTATCCCTCTCTCTTCCTCTCTGTAAAAAATCAATAAAATATATTTTTTGGGGAAAAAAAGAATCACTAACAGATGAAGATATTTATTTATTTATTTATTGATTGATTGATTTTAGGGACGTCAGAAAAGAGATGCAACCATGTGATGGATTGAACAGAGGTAAGGAAGCCACAAGTCAGATACCATCAGGAGGATCATAGGAGTCATCTGTCCAGTAAACCCTCAGAGATATTCTGGGGTTGGAAACTTGGAGTCAAACTATCAACTTGTCAACAGAACAAGATAATATTCAAGGACTCAGGAACTTTCTTTCTTAGAAGTTACTTGATGTACTTACTTGAGGAAAAAAACAAGAGGGAGGAAAATCAGAAAGAAAATGACCTGCAATACAGAAGTCAGTGGAGTTCAAAAAAAGGCATACATTCCATGTTATAGATAGAATAAATAAAGTGATGGAAGATATTTGAGCATACTGAAGAAGGCATGCTACTTTTCTTAGGGAGAAAAAAAGGCAATTAGAAATTCTAGAAAAATCAAATAAAAAATAGAAATTAAATTGTGGTTCAAATGTTAATCAATCTTAAAATACAGCATAATTTTGCCCTAGCCAGCTTGGCTCAGTGGATAAAGCATCAGCCTTCGGACTGGAGAGTCCTGGGTTCAATTCTGACCAAAGGCACATGCCTAGGTTGCGGGCTTGATCCCCAGGAGGGGACGTGCAGGAGGCAACCCATCAATGGTTCTCTCTCATCATTGATGTTTCTATCTCTCCTTCTCCCTTTCTCTCTGAAATTAATGAAGAACTATTCTGGATCCAGGTCTTACCTGCTTGGACATGTAATGGGCTACAGTTTCACTAGAGATCTTCTTTACTCACAATTCACACCATGTACTAACTGTCAGGATGTTCCCGGAGTGCTGCCAACCGTGGACAGATGTCAGGATTTCCTTTGGTGTCGCTGGGAGAGGTTTGGAGACCTTTGTGAGGTTGGACTATATAGGTTTTGTTTGTTTTTAATCTAGGTTTTTTAATGGGTGACCTGGGATGGAATTGCTTTCCAACTTGATCTCAAAGCCCATTAAAACATAAAATTAACTATTGGAAAAATTAAAACTCCAGTCTTAACTTTTAGGGGCCCATAAGCTCCTTTGGGCTTCATTCTTAACTTGCCAAGTGTTAGGGTTTTTGTTGTTGTTGTTTTGTGTGTGTGTGTGTGTGTGTGTGTGTGTGTGTTTTCTATTCGGCCTCTGTTGACACCACTGAGTGGGAATAGGCTCCTCATATCTGGTGGCCTGGGAATTTCAATTTCCCACTAGGCTTCCTCTGATGCCTCCCTAGCTGGCAGGGATAGAAGTGCCACATCACTGCCCGCCATGTGGCATCTACTGACACCCTTGTGGGGAGGGGTAGTCTCTTTACAGATGAAAGTCCTGATTCTCCACTTGGCCCCTCCTCTGGTTCTACCCAGCAGGGACTGGAGGTGCGTCTCATTACTGTCAGGTAGGGGTGGAAGTCCAGGCTCAGCACGGGGGTGAGGGGGATGTGGGGGTTGGGGGGGCTATAGGTTTTTACTGTGTGGTGTTTGTCTCCAGCGGAGAGATTATTTCCTAAAAGTTATCTGTCTTGGTAGGCTGCATCTATTTCATCCTTTGGCTAGAGAGAGTAGCCTTCCACTGGGACATTTTTGTCTGTGCGTGTTGGCATTTTCAGGTTTCTGGGCTTGGGCTTCTCTAATACCCAATAAGGGACCATAAAGCTAAATGACTAAATGAAAATCCCAGAACTTAACACTCTGTTCCTCTTCAGGTCCTGAGGTCCCTAGCTGGTATGCCTTCTTTTCTCCACCTACTTTATATATAAGTAGAGGCCTGATGCACAAAATCTGTGCAAGAGTAGGCCTTACTCCCTGGTACCGGCTTCCCTCTGGCACCTGGGACCCGGGCTTCCCTCGCAGCCCTGGCTTTGTCCAGAAGGTCTTTCGGTCTAATTTGCATATTATGCTTTCATTATTACAGATGTTCAGATGTTAGTTGTATTTATTGGGAAGGACAGGAAAAAATCTACTTATCTCATCTTCCCAGAAGCAGAAATGAAGAGCCTATAGGGCACAGGAACACAATTTTAAACAAAACTAGAGGCTGAGACTTAGGGAGAAGTTGCAGTGCCTTACACACAAAGATATCAGGAAGGCAATCGAATAAAGAAAGCCAACCATAGGTAGGAACTACCCTTGCAAATACAAGACTATCTGCAATCACCTTCAAATAGTAATCCTTAAAAAAAAAATCATAATGCTTTTGATAGAGTTCCATGAAAATCTCAAAGCCTTAATTTATAAATTAGTAATCAGTATAGGGCTTCTGAAAGGAGATAGTAAACTACATGGTGTAGACAAAGCCATCAATCAGTTTAAAAAAAAAAAAAGGCAAATTAAAAAGATCCCATGCCCAGATTCAGGTCTGCCTGCTTCTATTTCTGAGCCCTCGTTGGAGTCCTAAGAGAATACTCACTGTTCAAAGGAGGCAACCTTTTGCAAAGTAGTACTAATTTTCAAGAAAAGAGCCCTATAAACAACCTAGAGAAACAAAAACAGTAGCCCACAATAAAAATGACAAAAACAATCTGATTGGATATAAAATCTCAGGAGGACTGGAATATAAACTTTAGGAGCTGGGAGATCAATGGCCGTGTTGTCCCGTGTTGTAAATAGCTCTGCTATGTAGGTTGACATAGTTGAAAGGCAAGCGCATTTCAGCAGTTAATTATAGAAACCTGTCCAGGGAGCTGCATTTATTGGTTGCAGGAGGTCTATTCTAGCTAAAACCTAAATAAACTAAGAAGAGAGGGTCAGGTAGAAAATGCTAGGAGACTGTTCCAATGGTAGACATGATTCCCCCCCCCCCCTTTTCCTTTCTTCCTCCTTCCTTCTTTTTGGTTGGTGTGGGTAGAGACAGCCAAAGAAGAAAACTATTTTTGTATCAGTTGCAAATGGGAACCCTGCACTTGGTACCAGTTCCTGGAAACATTGCTAGCATGCCCAGAACCAGGAGTGAGCCTGCATGGAAATTATCCAATTTCTATGCTTTTTCTTTAGGCACTTCCAACTCCCTGAGTGACTGGGCAAAAGGTCAAAGTCAAATCTGTTGATTCTGCTACTTAGATTAAAAGGTTGGGTGAGCACAATTTAGGTAAATGAGTAAATAAAATGAATTGGGGGTGGGGGAGAAGGTAGTGAGCATCCTGGGGTTCTGATTGCCTTGGCTTCTCCTCTCTCACCTTCCTCCTGTACTACCCTTCTAGATAGGATTCAAGTCTTGCTTTTGTGTGTCCCTGACTCCCAACTCTTTGATGGGGAATTGGCAAGCCCTGCAATTATCACCAAAGAGTTGAGATCCAAATGTGTACATCACAGACAGAAGAATGAATATATCTCTCTGGCACACATATACACTACTTTCTGGACTTTCCAGTACCTTCAGTTTTGCTTACAATAATGGATGCACAGAATTTTAAGACAATGGAGAAATATATATTGGAATCGAGAATATGACTTCTTAGAAATTCCACCTTTCAAAGAGAACGATTTTATCAACTTGTTTTCCTACTCTTTCCCAAATGTATGGAAGCAAACTGTATGTTCGTGTTGTTAAATGACATCACAGAAATTAAAAAGTTATGTTATCCATGGTAGGTTTCTGGTCATTGTTTCCCAACGAACAGACAGACACTACAGAGTACTGCTGCTAGCATGAAAAGACCCACGTGTTACTGCAGTTAAAAACTGGCCCCATGTTTTTAGGGAGTTTCTTCTACCTAAAAATTGCAGCAGCAGCAGCAGCTGCGAGCCACAGTTCAGTATCTGCTGCAAGAAGGCAACACATGCAGCTACACCCCTCCGCGGGGGGTGGTTCTGGGGGGTCAGGTGCTCGAAGGAGGCGTCAGGGAGCGGCAGCCACCGCCCCCCACACGCCCTCCGCTCTTGCGTAAACAAGCCAACTCCCGCAGCCCGCTCATTGGGGGAGGAGCTTGGGGGCGGGGTCAGAGAGTTATGCCGAAGCCTCATTGGTGGGTTCTCCAAGTGCAAGGACCTGCGAGTCTTGATTGGTTGGCTCCCGGGATTGACAGCACCTGCTCTGACGGGGCGGTGCCTCCGGGGGCGGCGCTCCGCCCCGAGCGGTCGCGTGCCCGCCCCGAGCGGCAGAGCGCGTGCGCGCGCGGTCCACGCCGGCGCCGTGCCCGCTCGCCCGCCCGCCGGGCCGCGCACCCTCGCCGGCAGTGGGAGAGCCGGAGCGGCGGAGGTCACCGCGGGGAGGCGGGGCGGGGCAGCATGGCAGCCTCCTTCTGGCTCCGCGGAGCCGCCTCCGGCCTCCGGCCCTGGAGCCGCCGGCAGCGGCCGGCAGCGGCCAGCCTTGCAGCGGGTAAGGACCTCGCGCCGCCTCTCCCCGTCCCCCCTCCGGCCGCCCACCTCTCGCGACCTGACGGCCCGAGAGGTGTTTCCCACGGGAGGCGCTGCGGTTGGGTCGGGGCGCACCACCCCACGTTTTGGCTGGTCCCTGGGCCTGGTGTCTTTGCGCCGCTCTGTTTCCCCCTAATGGTCCCCTTGCCCCCCATCCAGGTGAATGGCGTTCAGCGCCCTTTTTGGGGGGACGGTGGGAAGACCTGGGGGTGGAGGGAATCCGGTTCAACCATATTGGGGTCCGGGGCGTGCTCCTTCGGGGTAAGTTAGGGCTCGAGGACCGGTGGAGGGCCCAGCCACAGGGGCGACCTCGCCTTCACCCCTGCGCCCCCCGGCTTTGCAGCGCCGGCCGGCGTCCAGCTCCCCTGGGGTGCACCCAGGCTGGGCGCCCCCTTGGGCGGCAGGGCCTGATTTTTGTTGAATAACCACCTTAATCGTACAAGATGGGTTTATACAAGTGGTGTTAATGCCAACCAGTTGGTAAGTCATTCAAGCAAAAGTTTTCACTCACCCTTGACAGCCCGCGAGGCGGGCTTCCCACCGCCCCATTCCTTGGAACTGTGCTCCCTGAAGATGGCACTTGTGTCAAATTATTAACCCAAATACTTGACACGTCTTCAAAATCGTGACCTGAACCCATCCTCCCTCCCTCTCCACCCATAACATTACAAGTTAGGGAGGCTAAGCATGGACTTTGGGAAGAGACAGATTTTAGACCCACAGAGAGAAAATAATTTTCATTTTCCAGGTGAAGAGCCTGAGGCTCCTTGGGCAAGTGAACTAGGGCATCTGTCCAGCAGGATCTGGAGCGTGGCCCTTGATTCTTCCTCATTCCTGCATTTCCTGGCACACCAGGATTCCTCTTTGATTGAAAAATTGGTTGATTTGTGAGGACCCTGCCATTGTGTTCCTGTAAAAGTTTGAGAGTTATTAACACCGTACTGCAAGCTCATACTCAGGATTCTGAAAAAGCCTTTGTATTAAAAATATATATATATTTTATTGATTTTTTACAGAGGAAGGGAAAGGGATAGTGAGTTAGAAACATCAATGAGAGAGAAGCATCGATCAGCTGCCTCCTGCGCACTCCCTACTGGGGATGTGCCCTCAACCAAGCTACATACCCTTGACCGGAATTGAACCTGGGACTCTTCAGTCTGCAGGCTGATGCTCTATCCACTGAGCCAAACCGGTTAGGCATATCTATCTATCTATCTATCTATCTATCTATCTATCTATCTATCATCTTTGATTTAAAATACAGCAGTTTGGGAATTGAAGTCTTAATAGCTCCCTCTCAGTACAAGCTGAGCAGAAGAGTGAATTTCCCTGACTTGAGAAGGGCAGGCTTCCTCCATGTGATGCAAGAGAACAGATGTCTGATACAGAATCACAGTAACAAGATACAGACTCACTGCACCTGCCAGACTTTATTGTAACCGCTATTTGAGCTACTGTCTAAGCTACAAAAATAAAAATAAAAATTAAAAAAGCCTCCCACTTTAGAGAAACTTAAAAAAAAATCGAGTAGCCACTTTTCCACAGTAGCAAATGTCGCACCAATTTTCTCACAAAGGTGCAGTTCTTTCCGGTTTGATTAGCCAAGGAAGATGTATGTGCTGTTTTGTGGTTTTATAATGTGTTCAAACGATGTTTTAATGAACTCGATGCACCTTTTCGGCTTGTAAAGTTAATACAACTCGATAGAAGAGCCTGGGCCCCAAAGCTATAATAACTGTCTCTTTAAGCTAGAATGCTGTTCCATAGTGCTGGTTAGACTATTTCAGCACGTGATCTTGTTTCTTGAGTCCTTTGACCCAAAGATGCTCTATGGATATAGATTTATAATAAATTTTAAATAGTTCTTTTTTGTGATGATTGTTTAAAAACAACTCAGTAGTTGTTTTGACTCTGGAATTGTTTTAAATGTTTCTGTTAATAGTTTGGTACAGCCGAAACCGGTTTGGCTCAGTGGTAGAGCATTGGTCTGCGGACTGAAAGGTCCCAGGTTCGATTCTGGTCAAGGGCATGTACCTTGGTTGCGGGCACATCCCCGGTAGGGGATGTGCAAGATGCAGCTGGTCGATGTTTCTCTCTCATCGATGTTTCTAGCTCTCTATCCCTCTCTCCTCCTCTCTGTAAAAAATCAATAAAAAAATATATATTAAAAAAAAAATTAAAAAAATAAATTAAAAAAAATAGCTTGGTACAGAACTGTTAAGTTTTTTCAATTGGAGTCTTAAAAAAGAAATTCTTCCTGCAACTTTGGAGCCTAGAGACATTAAGAAAAGAACCATGTCCAATAGTAACACATTTAGTGTTCTGAAATCTGTGGGTTGTTTGTCTGCATTGTATATTTAAGATGTTTGTATCAATAGGTTGCTAGTACTATAAAGAGCCATATAATTATTTACTACTTTTAAAAAAATGAGACCTGAAAGTTGCCAATTAATACTGCCTCCTAATATTTAAAGTATCAAAAAGGATATAGAAAAATAAGCAATATTAAACTATATATATATTACATTTTGCTCACCATTTAATAAAAGTAAATTTTATATTTTACTTTTGAAGGTAAGTAAATTTAATTTTATACTTTATATACAGATTTTTAAAAATCTACACACCTAGGCCCTCTATAATTTCCCTACCCCAACAGCAATAAATAAAATATTTAAAATATTGATATAACTTGACTCAAAAAATGAAAGTCTTTATAAAGTAAGTCTCCATCCTTAGTTTAGTAACTTTTTTTTGGAGGGAGGGAGCAGAAGAGAGAGACACATCAATTGGTTGCCTCACCCCCACCAGCCAGGGGAATGAACCTGCAACCTAGGTTTGCCCACTTGACTGGGAATCAAACCTGTGACCCTTCAGTTCCAGGCTCTAACTATTTAGTCACACCGGCTAGGGCTCCAACTAGCTTTTCCCATCAGTATCACCTTTGTATTGTGTAGACTGGCTTTCTACAAGCTTGATTTTAGTTATGTTCTTTGACTCTACTATTTCTACACATTAATGTGTGTGACTTACTTAAAGGAAGATGCATTATTTAAGTTTGAACATTTTTAGGATAATAATTTTGTTAAACTACTTTAAATATCTGCTCTGTTGGGAGCATATTCTTCTTTTTTTAAAATAGTGATTTTTTAGAAAGAGAGGAAAAAAGGGGGCGGGGAGAGACAGACATTGATGAGAGAGAAACATCATTGATTGGCCACCTCCTGTACCATCCCCACTGGGGACTGAGCTGCAAGCCAGGCATGTGTCCTGGTGAGGAATGGGACAGGGAGCCACATAGCCGGGCAGGGGCATATTCTATACTGTACAAGAACACCTTCCGATGCATCACATTAATTAAAATCTGTTTCCTTAGACATTTGGCATATGACTTGTAACTTGTGCTACTTCTTGACCATTGATAGCAAAAGTAGCAAATCTTATTCACTATCATGTGCCAGGCACTGTTTAATGCTTTACTGTATTATCTCAAGCAGTTACAATAACCTTCTGAATGAGTTACTCTTGTTGATACAAATGTCTAGAGAAGTTAAGTAACTTGTTAGTTCAAGGGCATACATCTAGGAATTAATCTTGCGTGGATAGGAATTTCAGTCTTCTAAACTGAGGGTTCTTAAATATCAATGTCAGTAAATAAACTCTTCTCGCATGACATCAAAGCACCTAATTATATAACCCTTTCTTGAACTTGGCCACCAGCAAAGATGTTATGAAGAGAACTGAGCCCTTGTTAAAGACTTCATCTTCATTGATTTTCATATTGGCCAATTAAAATTCTGGGCCTGATTATTCTTTTTATTATTCTTTAAAATTTTTAACTTTAATATATATATATATATATATATATATATATATATATATATATATATATTTTAATCCTTACCTGAGGACATGTTTCTGTTGATGAGAGAGAGAGGAAGGAAGGGAGGGAGAGAGAAATATAGATTGGTTGCCTCCCATATGCGGCATACTAGAGATTGAACCCTGCAACCTAGGTATGTGCCCTGATTGGGAATCAAATCTGAGCCCTTGGGTGTATTGAACAATGCTCCGACCAACGGAGCCTCACCACCCAGGGCAAGGGCCTCATTATTATTTGATTTTTATCTTCCTTAGAAAAGTAAGCAAGAATTTGTTGGCCAAAGCAAAAGTATACTTAGGACAGTGAAATAAGGAAGGGCATGCAAGAAACAACAGGAGAGCCGAGGCTGGGCTGCTTTGGCTCACTGAGAAGTCTGAGAAAAGGGGGTTCAGGGGATTAGTCTGGCTGCCACGGCCCATTGCTCCCCTGGTTGCAAGTCGCCTGGGGTCCCTCGGAGTTTAGGAGATGCATGCCTGTGGGGGAGGGAGAGAGGCAAGGGAATAGTAGATGTGTGTTCCCTAGAGGGAGTGCGCCAAGGGCCTCCTTGTTTGTTACCTCACCTTCAGCAGCTAACGTCAGCTCTCTACTTGAACTCTTCGAAGATCTCATCACTAGGAATTGCTATACTGTCAATATTTCAAAAACTGAACTAGTCTTCTGATACAACCCCCCTCTGATTCTTGTTCTGCTGATGAATATGCTGTTTTCCATCATCATTGAACCTCTTGTGGACCAGAAAGTTGGGCACAGGACTCCTTTTATACTCATTGTTTTAACTGTGCATTGGTGAGGTGATGTTGCACAAGAATGACACCCATATTTAATGGAAATGTTAGAGATGATCATCAAGTTAAGAGGAATTAAATATGCTTTTAACCCGAGAAGACCTCTGATTCTTAAGCATCAGGGCTTCAAATAATTTGCTTTTAAGAAATTTCATCTCATGTAGATTAAGTTCAAGGAAGAGTAGGGATTCCTAAAAGAGTGACTGTGGTTATTTGGTACACTACACAGTTTTAAAACTGGAGCCCTTGAAAGAAAAAGAAAAAATAAGGTGGGAAATGTCAGGGGATAAGACAAGTGGAGTTACTTGTCATTCTTCCTGACTGGACTAAGCCCATAACAGTGTCTGTCTCCGAGTTTTGTCATAGAACTTGATGCAGTCAATATTTGTTGAGTGGACATCTAATTCCAGAAACTGAAATAACTTCTAATATTATTTTCATAGTAATGCAGAGTCTCTTTGCTCTGTCTTGCCACAGTGATTTCAAAAATGTTTTTGTGAAAAAAGAAGAAAAGACAATAAAACAACCAGCGTGCAGCTTTTATAAAGAAGGACTTTTCCCCCCTATAAATGGAAGTGCCTCTTTCTGAGAGGGCACTGATTCCTTAGCCCAAGGGCAAAATATCTTTGACCACATGGAGGTAGCCATCTTGGTTGTTGCAGTGATGGTCAATTTGCATATTATTTTATTAGATAGGATAAATATAGTTATGAGGAATCTAGACTCCTTCACATAATAAAGTACGTGATATATATTTTATAAATGATAACATTTTAAAATTTATTGTTAAAAATGATCAAGTGTCTCTCCCTCTATTTCCCTTCATCTTTTCCACTCTACCCCTCCTCACTCTCTTCCTTCTCTCTAAAAATCAATGAACATATTCTCAGGTGAGGATTCAAAAAAATAAAAAAAGATGATAAAGGGATGTTCTAGAAAGAGATTGCTTACAAATTATTATTTCCTGAAAAACTAAAGTAGGAGTTAGTCTGCATGTACATTGTCAGTATCTGTAAATGTGATTAGATCATTAGTTTAGAACTAGTCTTTAAAAAGTTTTTAATAAGAAACATCTAAATAACAGTTGACCAAACTGACACATAAATTCAAAGAAAAAGACGATGGTTGCCAAAGGGGAGGGAACGGGGAATGGGTACAAAAATACCGAACAGTTGGCTTACTAATGTTAAATGAAAGTTTGCTATAAAAAATGTTACCTGCTCTTATTGAAAGTACTGCATTGAAATCAGTGTGTTCTAGGTCAATGGCCTCTAAGACTCCAGTTGGATTTATTGGACTTGGCAACATGGGGAATCCAATGGCAAAAAACCTCATGAAACATGGCTACCCACTCGTTATTTATGATGTGTTCCCTGATGCGTGCAAAGAGTTTCAAGAAGCAGGTGAACAGGTAAGGTCTCTTCTTAAGATTTTGATGTTTAAAAATGAATATACATTCAAATAAGTGCTGAAACAGTTTTTTTTTTTTTTTTTTAGAAGGGAAAAATAAGTAAATAACTGTTAAGAGTCATTTTATTTCTGGTAGGAAACTACATCGATACTGTGTGTATAATCTTTAATCACCTTCAAACAGAAATGAAATTAAAGTTATGGAGACAAGGTGTCTCAGATTCCTGAAAATAAATGAGAAGGTTCTGGAACACAGACTGAATTATTACTTTTTCCTTTTTTCCATCCTCCCTGAGAGACGTAAGTGGGTGTGAGGAGGGAGAGAAGTTGGGTTCTGGGTAGCTGCCCCTCAGAGTAGTGAAGAGTGAAGGCTTGTTTTAGCTTCTGGTGTGCAGTTCCCAGCCTGCCCCCCACGCGGTGGGAAAAGTTCTGTGTGTGGTTCACACTGCAGCAGCAAGCCTGGCAGGCAGAATCCTCTTTCCCACAGCTCCTCTCACATCTCTGCTTGCCCAAGAGTCTCAGCTCTAAGAAGTCCTCTGAGTATTGATTATAATAACAGAAACGGAGGGCAGATGAATGAAGGGAGAGAGGTAAAAAAACTGTGGGCCTGAGGGGAAGTATCGTGTCATAATAAAATGAAAACATTTGTTGACAAATGGTTTGTGCTAGCAGCTTAAACATTCTGATCAGTGTAATCTCCTAGGAATGCTACTTTAAAAGATAACATTAATTTCGATGAATAAGTTCTGATATAGTAAAATGTCAGTATTATTTCATATTTAGTTTTAAATATTTTTGGATAAAATAAAATATAAGTTTCATTCTACTACAAGACAAAGTCAAGACTAGGGGTAGGGATGTGATAGAAACATGGAGGTGAAAACCTTGAAACTTCTTGCTATTCTGCACAATAGTGCAATGAAGGGATTAGGGTTTAAAAATTCAGACTATATTTGAGTTGATGGTTATGTTTTAAGGACAGGTGTCCCCTTCTTCCTATAATGTTACTATGTCAAGTGAAGCTGATGAAATGACAGTCTTTAAGAAAAGAATTCCCCCCCTCCCCCCACCCAAAGATTATAGAATTGCTGGCTAGTTGATTTCTAATGTCTACTGTTAGGGGGAAATTTTTAGGGAGAAAAGGTTACAAAATAGGCATATCTGGATTAAAAGCAGTCATCTGGTTCTAAAGATCTTTGGACATCTCCGTGAAGAAGTGCTATTTCTTCTTCTTTTTTCTAAAAAGCAAATCTGGGGACTTAACTGTTTTATATAACTGAAGAGTTGGGGAGCGGTCTGATCCCAGGCACAGCTGAATTTGGGGCACAGATGTGGTCAGGTTCCTTTCTGCCTGCTCTTGGCCCTGCTTTCTACCTAAATTTTCTCATCTTATAAAGTGGGGATAGTAATAGTACCTTCTTCTTAGTGCTACATAGTTAAGTGTGTGGTATTACTACTGTTGTGAATGTTGTTGTGTCTACCATATTTCTCCCAAATCTTCATTCTCAACACCACACAGAGAAACACTACTGTCCTGGCCGAGTCATTGAGTCCAGGGTGCTTTGGAAGAAAACGTAGACATGTTTTTAAGGGAAAGAAGGATGATAAAAATGAAAACTAGGAGATAGTGATTTGACAGCATCACTGCTTAAGAACATGTTCTGCACCATCCCTTCTATGCCACTTTTATTTTGCAGAAGATACTGATTTCTCTTTTAGCATCAAGGGCATATGACTTGTGCTTCATTTTTGTTTTTATTGTCTAAGGAATTTCCCTGGAGATGCCACTGGGATTAGTAAGACTGCCAAAAGTCTTACACTATTTCTGCATGAGTTTTCTGGTTGAACTGGGCTTAATTAGGTTCTCTTTTGTTTTCTCTTTAAAAACTTGGAAAGCATCCTGTTGTTCGTGGGTTGTAAGGCTGAGCATGTCTGGTTAAGTAATTCCCTTAGGACTTACTCTGGCATCCACTCAGGTCTTGTTAAGCGAGAACTTTAAAAGTCTCTTGCAAAAGAAAAAAATAAAATAAAAGTCTCTTGCTGAGTGGCTCCATCATTGTTTACCAAATGTTTCAAGATATAGGCACAAACTACTTTTGTCAGTTTTTAAAGCATAGTGTATGCTTTTCTACTTGGGAAGATTAAAAAACACAAAGTGGCAAATTAAACCAAGGTCATGTTCATCTTATTTCTTTGCAAATTTATCTTACCCGCTTACTGGGAAGCAGTGCTGAGCTTGACTTCTGTGACTTTTGTCAAGAAGAGAGAGCGAAATTTTTCCTCTTAATGTAAAGCAGCTAGTTAATGGTCTCCTTCCAATGGATATGCATAAAGGAGTCGCAATTCCTTCTGATTACCTTGGGGTCTGATGCCCTCACCCTTTCTCCTTCCCCTCACCCGCAAAACAGGTTTTGTCTTTAATTTCTCTAGTTTCCTACTCTATTGCACACCTGTCATTGATGTGTACTAGCAAATAGATGAATCTAAATCCAGAGAAATTGGCTACAAAAACTTGTAAAGTCTGTAGATACCATGATACACAAGGGAGCCAATCTCCTGCAGTCAAAATTCAGATTATGGTAAAATAGAGTTATCCTTATTCACAATAACATATGAATAATTGGAATTAGCAAGAGATTGTTCTGGGATGGCCATGACCATCTGACCATAGCCATGGCCCAGAGTGAGCCAGGCCAGTGACTGTCCACAGAGGCGGACGTGTGCTGGAGCCCTGCCATGCTATACCTTTGTTCTGAGTCATTGCAGAGGCTTCCCAACGCATCAGCACCCCCCTCACCCTCCTTTATTTATTTATTTATTTATTTATTTATTTATTTATTTATTTATTATAGAGGCTGTACCTTTCTAGAACTTAAGGCTACTAAATATGAAAGTTTCTTTGCCTTCCTTCCCTTTCTACTTTGGAGATAGAAAACCTTAAAGATAACCCAAATCACTCTTCTTATTTTGTAAGTTCAGAAACTGAAGCCAGACAGGTTAAGTGATTTGCACAAAATTACACATTACCACAAGAGTCTTGGTAGCTTACTGGTATGCTCTCAGCCTATATGTAACTAAACCTGTGTGTCTGACTTCCCAAATTAGTGTTCCTTTCACTGATCCATGCCATCTTTGCGTATCCATTCAATTAGCAAAGTAATTGAAGGGACTCTAATTAGTTTGGCTCCTTTTTGTGGTTAGTGTCAGGCAGGCAACAAGGTTTGTGGGTCCCCCCCCCAGCTTTTGAGTCGTGGCCAAATTTGTCAGTTATTTCAGACTTTTGAAGTCATTACATGGAAGGCAAGATGGTTTGAATAGCTGGACACACATGCCTATCTGTCTAGTAAACATGCCTTCTGTAGTACAAATTAGAGACTTATTATAATGTGCCAGTTGTATCTAGTCATTAGCTATGGCGCAGTTGTGGCCAGTACAGTGATCACATTCCAGCTATCACTATCATTGTGTGTTTTTTCCGGACCTGTGACTTTGACACTACTTTCCCGTATAATTGAGGGCTTAGTGGTCCTTTGGCAACACAAGCATCCCAGGAAGCAGATGCTGGGGATGTGGGGGGCTGATTGGCCACCCCATGCACTTGGCAGTTGCATGAATTGGCACCGCCAATTTATTGGCATGAGAACCTTGGAGGTGTGAAGTATTCTTAGGTCTGTGAGCTAATTGTTGGTACCCCTGAGGGCACCTCTCAAGGAGTTATCTAGATGGAATTGAATTTCCTTCAGTGGAAGAGTCCCTCTCAATTCCTAAGAGAAAGTCTGAAATTGACTCTAGGAGGAAAGGCCACTGGGAGGTGTGCCGCCGTTTTTGCATTGTGTTTCCTTCATTTAGGTGGGAATGAACAGAGGCGGGCTCTCTGTGTAACCCATGTTCTTGATGCAGTCCAGGAACAGAGAACTATGACTCTTAATGACTCTTACTACTTCTTTTTTTTTTTTCCTTCATCTTACTGAGCTGTATTTTTCTAGAGAGAACTTGAACGTTTGCCAGGAAATAGTTGCCTCTTTTTGAATCAGAATTTATTTGGGTGTAGAAACGGTGTTCATTTAACTTAATTATTTCTTCTTTTTAAAATACATTTTTGTTGATTTCAGAGAGGAAGGAGAGGGAGAGAAACATTGATGTGAGAGGGAAACACACGGGGGATCCTCCCGCAACCCAGGCATGTGCCCTCACCGGGAATCAAACCGGCAGCCTTGTGAGCACAGGATGACACCCAGCCACTGAGCCACACTGGCCAGGGCAACTTAAGTCTTTCTTTGTCATTGATGGAAAAAATATTTTTTCCAGAATTATTTGTGGCAAATCCCTATGATACATCAAAAAATACATATTAAATATGTAAATTATAGACCTTAAAATGCTATATTGCCTTTAAAATGAAACATTAAAAGAGAGAGACTATCTTTTGTTTTTGTTGTTTTTAAGTTGTGAGATGTTTGATATCAAGGATACTTGCATGTTTGAAATTTTAAAGTATGACTTAAGAAATTTGTTTTAAAAAAAGAAATTTATGTTAAAACTACATTTATCTAGAAGGTAGGTGGTAGTCTGTTATGGAAAATTGAAATGTAAATTACTTCTAGCTTATAATATTTAGATTACATGCTGTGCTTGGTTTCCCATTCTTTTACTCTTCATCAAAGATGACAAGAAAATGTTACGTGCATTTTCACCACATGAAATGCATAGGCTTTTCCATCCTTAAGGTGCTTACATGTCACTTAATATTCTCTAATAGAGAATATGTCAATTTCTAATACATATGTCAATCATTCTATAGAGAAAGCTTCAGTTATCCTCCTGTTAATCTTTTGTCTTTTTCTAAAGAGAGAGATACAGCTTTAGAGGAGCTTTTGGGACAGTTGGGTGATGGATTCTTTCTGTTAAAGCAGAGTTCGAGTCAAGGAGTGAGCTCCTGGTCTCTTCTGCCTTCTTTGGTCATTGAGTGGCTGGCCAGGTGAATCCAGGTGTATATATGAAGGAGATCAAGGGGTTGGGGTATGTGAGTAAGGGTGTGTACACCCATGTGGCATGCACACATATAGAGATTGAACAGAGCAACTTTACAGTCAGTTTCTGGTCACCATGGAAGTAGAAATGAGGGTTGAAATGAAAGCATAGCTTGATGCGTATTTGTATGTCTGTCTTGTATATAGTTTCCACATGAGTCTTGGTAGCTTAATGGTATGCTCTCAGCCTTCATGGTAGTACTCAAAATCAGTGCAGAAGTGCTCATGTCCTTGTCCTGACCTTTTCTTTTCTGAACTAGGCAGAATTCTTCTTCTTTTTTGTTTTGTTTTGTTTTGTTTGTTAATCCTCACCCAAGGATATTTTTTCCATTGATTTTGAGAGAGTAGAAAGACTGTGTGTGTGTGTGTGTGTGTGTGTGTGTGTGTGTAGAGGAGAAAAACATTGATGTGAGAGAGACACATCTATTGGTTGCCTCCCACATGCACTCTACTTGGGCCAGGAATCGAATCTGCAACTCAAGTACATGCCCTTGACTGGGAATTGAATCTGTGACCTTTTGGTGCTCAGGCCGACGTTCCAACTGTGAGATGCATGAGCCAGGGCTTTCTTCTTTTTTATGAAAATAGAGACACAGGATCCAGGCTTGATCATTCTACCAGGAGACTTTTGCTGCCCATTGAAATACCTGTAAACCCGTAGTTTGGTTACCAGCCCCTCTTGTACTAGAATGTTTTCCTTAGTCAAAGTATCTACCAAAAAAGCATGCTGTTAAGAATCTAAGTTGGAGGAATCCCTGAGAAGTCTGTTCCCAGGACTGTTGTGTTTTGCCCTTTCCCCACAGTTCACTTCACACTTTTTAAAATAAACAGTAGATTTCATTATATACAAACTGCATCTGTATGTGTGTAAGAATGAACTCTGTTTTAGGCAGTAAGCTTTTCCTTGTCATTTGGAATCAAGGATGAGTTTTATTCACTGTCACTGTTATCAGTATGCATAAAAACTGGATCCTACTTTTGCTCTAGAAACTGCTTACGTTTTTATTTAAACGTGTCTTTTAAATTTTTTTTTAAAGGTAGTGTCTTCCCCAGCAGATGTAGCTGAAAAAGCTGACAGAATTATTACCATGTTGCCCACCAGTATGAATGCAATAGAAGCTTATTCCGGAGCAAATGGAATTCTGAAGTATGTATTTCTCAACTGTGGATATTTTCTCATTATGATAGTTCATGAATTTCACATTTGTTGAAACTATTAAGAAATTACAGTTACGCTGGTTAAAACTTTCCATACTGTTTTCTTATTTCTTAAAATGCATGATTTGGTTTCTTTCTCTTTGTAAAGGGTTTGTTTTTTTCAACGAAGTCAAGTATGTGACTTTTGGGAACACTTTTTTTTTTTTTTTTTGCTTCCGTTTCTTTCCTTTAACTCTTGCATTAAATGTCTGCTTTCATTGGTAACATGTTTAAGAGACTTTTAAAGCTTGCATGTTAAACTCCACAAATGTTACAAGCATAATATGGTTTATAGAAATTCAGGAAAAGGTTTCGATGAAAAATAAAACCAAACATTGGAAAGAACATCATTATTTAACACTTTATTGTGTAATAAAAAGTTATTGTATGTCCTCTGGGTTAGCACATCTGCAGTAAGAACTTTGAGGGGTTGGAATTAAAGGTTAGCAGTTTTGCTCTTTAAATAAAATATAATTTAGGTCAGAGTTTCCCCTAGCCAGTGCCTCGCTTCCCTGGCTTCAAGAACCTCCTGGCTAATTGCTGCCTATTGCCAAACCCTTGTGGTTTTGTTAGGATGACAGTGGTTGAATTCCCAACTTAGTTTTCTGCTCTTACTGGTTCCTGTTCCTAACTTGTTTTGTTGTTGAATTTCAGCAGATAAGTAGAACAAATGGGTAGGCTCTGAAGAAACATGAAGGGCTAAAACGAAAGGGATTCATTTCATGAAGCTGTCATATGAAATTTGAAGTTTTTGGAAATTGAATTGCTTTGGAAAACTAACAAACCTGGAAGCAAAAGACACTTGGATATAGGCAGAAAACTGATAAGATAAATGTTTAGTTTCAGGGAGGGTAAAACACACTAACTTTGGATGGAGCCCTCAGGCCCACAGTGTGTGTGGTCCTTAGGTGACCTAGCTATCTTGTTACCTACTCTGTTCCAATTATGGCCCTGCTTCACCTCTCAAGGAAAAGTTACTAAAAATTTGGGTGGAGAGAAATCCTACGTTTATTAATACCCTTTACTAACGAATATGGTGGCCAACTACCAGAGCAGTCTTATTAAGGGTGTGCTTTGAAAGAGTTTGGCTTTACTTTGAGCTATAATTTGCTTTTCATGGTTGGTTCTTGATTTTCTTCTGGATTAGGATAATTTCCCCAATCCAGGTGCATGCATAATTTTTTAGATGATTTCCCATTTTTTAAATAAGATCTTAAAATTAATATCACTGAAGACCGGTAAACTTAATTTTTATTTTTTAAGTTGCATGAAGTGAAAATCTACGTATTGGGGTGATCTGTATTAGAATATATTGTTTCATTTTCCTGTGGAATATACACAATTACTGCACTTGGACCAGATCAATGTATATGTCTAAAATTGTTATAGACATTTTATGTGCTATTTTTTTCTATAGGAAGATTTTTATTTTCTGTAGTATTTAGAAATGATTTACCTTTTTAATATTTCTATTTATTCAGTTCTAATTTTCCAGTCATAATTCTGACTAAATGTCTTAGGAAGTTTATTTTTTTTTAATTTTTATTTTATTTTATTGATTTTGTACAGAGAGGAAGGGAGAGAGATATAGAGAAACTTCGATGAGAGAGAGTCATCCATCAGCTGCCTCCTGCACACCCCCTACTGGGGATATGCCCGCAACCAAGGTACATGCCCTTGACCGGAATCGAACCCGGAACACTTCAGTCCCCAAGCCAATGCTCTATCCATTGAGCCAAACCGGCTTTGGCTTAGGAAGTTTTAATTAAAGGTTACCCGTATGCCCTAGCTGGTTTGGCTCAGTGGATACAGTGTTGGCCTGGAGGCCAAAGAGTCCCAGGTTCAGTTCTAATCAAGGGCATGCACCTTGGTTGCAGACTCCTCCTTGGTTCCGGCCTGGTCAGGCATGTGCAGGAAGCAACTAATCGATGTGTTTCTCTCACATTGATATTTCTTTCTATCTTTTCCTCTCTCTTCTCTCTAAAAATCAATGGAAAAATAACTTTGAGTGAGGATTAACTAAAAAATTAAAAAATAAAGGTTAACCATAGTCCTTTAAATAAAATATAATTTAGGTCAGAGTTTCCTAGCCAGTGATATAGAGTACAAAGGAATTACCTAGGTATATTGTCTGCACTTATAATACAAACAAAAATGTTTTACTATAAGAATGCCAATTAAATATTGGTGTGAAATATGATATATGAAAAGGCTTCTTCCCTCTTTTAACAAAGAATGTATAATATATAAATTTACTATAAAGAACAAAAAGACTTTGTGAGATTTCCAGGTCCATTCCTATATTTCCCTTTCTGCCAGTTTGATATTTTAATTTGCCTTTAAAATATTAGTATTAAAGAATACACCATCCTGAAGCAAATGGCTAAATTTCAAATTGCTTATGTTCTACCGAGTAGAAATTACATGGATATCTGAAATTTGCTATCTTTTTTAAGGCAAATAAATTACTTTTAAAAGAAACCCTGCTACTTAAAAAATAAACAAACAAACAAACAAAAACAACAAAAAAACCATCTAAATCCTACCAAATACCTCTTTTAAAGTTCATAGATGCTTTAAATTGCTTAAGTCTTAGCCTACCTATTTTATTATGATTAGAGTGTATTTCATCTAAAACCAGAATTTATACCATATAGTTTATTAGATTATTTTTGTTTGTTTGAAAGAGTTTGGGTTTACTTCAAGCTATAATTGATCTGAAAATTAATTTGAGATTTTGAACCATTTCTGATAATTCTTTAATACTAAACCAAAGAGGACCTTGATATCTGGCAGCTTTTAGCAGATTCTGGTTTTGTAGATAGTTGCATGAAATGTATATTTAGCATTGTAAACTATATTTTTAAAGCTATGTTTTTTTTTAAAAAACTACATTTTTATTTATTTACTTAGAGAAGTGAAGAAAGGCTCACTATTAATAGATTCCAGTACTATTGATCCTTCGGTTTCAAAAGAATTGGCCAAAGAAGTTGAGAAAATGGGAGCAGTTTTCATGGATGCCCCTGTTTCTGGTGGTAAGTGGTATTAAAAAAATGCACACCTATTTCAATTTGTCAAATGTAGCTAGAGGGGGCCAAAGGAAGAAGGGGGAGAATAGGAGACATCTATAATACTGTCAACAATGAAAATAAAATTTAAAAAGAGTTGTGATTAAGATTTTGTGGTATTCAAGATATATCCAGTTATTTTTAGACCTGTTACAGGAATTCTCAATTCCTTCATTATAAATAAAAACAAAACGAATTGTGTTATTTAGTGCTCTCAAACACATTGCTTATTCTTGATTCAGATAAAAGGAAACCACAATTTTAAAAAGTTGTAAATTTTTTATTCAAATTGCTATGGGTAGGGATAGATCAATTCCTGGAAACTTGGACTTTTCTGAATGGATTTAAGAAATCATGAGCTTGAATAATCTTATAACTTAAAGAAATTGACAAGAAAGGAAACAGGAAAAAAAGATCACTTCATAAAGGAAACATTAGGCTGAGTTGATTTTTATGGATGAATGTTACCAAAATTTCAAGGAGCAGATCATCTCAATTTTATACAAACTTTTCCAGACAATAGAAAAGGAGGAAATGTTTTCCAGCTAATTCTACAAGAGCTGGATAACTCTGATACTTAAATCAGACAGAAACATTGTGAGAGAAAAATTATAGGTCTATATTAGTCACGAATGTAGAAGTGAAAACTTAAAAAATACACCAGCAAGCCAAGACCGGTTTGGCTCAATGGATAGAGCGTCGGCTTGGGGACTGAAGGGTCTTGGGTTCGATTTCGGTCAAGGGCATGTACCTTGGTTGCGGGCATATCCCCAGTAGGGGGTGTGCAGGAGGCAGCTGATGGAAGTCTCTCTCTCATTGATGTTTTTAATTATCTCTCTCCCTTCCTCTCTGTACAAAATCAATAAAATATATTAAAAAAAAATACACCAGCAAGCTGAATTTAACCATATATAAAAAAGATCAAACGCTACAACCAAGTTTGGTTTATCTCATATATGTACAGATGGTTTAATATTAGAAAATCTATACATACATTTCATCAGATTAACATTTAAAAATCATGTGATCATCTCAATCAGAATAAGAAGACCCACTAATAAAATTCTCAAAGCTGATTATTATATCAAATATTAAAAGTGGGTATCTGGGTTTTTTGGAATGGCATGATTGTGGGTATTATGATTTTCCATGATTTCCAAATTTTCCAAATTGTGTAATCAAATACCATATGTATACACACATATGGATATATATATATATATATATATATATATATATATATCACACACACACACATATATACACACATACATACATACATACATATATTTATATATATAAAAGGCTAATATGCTAAGTGTCTGACCAGTAGTTATGATGTGCACTGACCACCAGAGGGTAGACGCTCAATGCTGGAGCTGTCGAGCTACAGTGTCTTGGTAGTGGCGATTCTTGGGGGACACACCCTGAGACCAGAGAAGAGGGAGACCGATTCTTTGTGGGGCCGTGAGATTCCATCTTCGGCCATCGGTTATGTTGTTGCTGGGGCACTGTTGGCCCGGAATCTGGCTTACTGCACACTTGCGTTTGCGTTCCACACCCTGTACGACAGCAACTTTGCAGAGTGCCCTCGCACTCCAGGGCCCCATGGAAAGTGTCGGAGAGCCAGTTTCAGCCCGATCCCCGCAGGCCAGGCCGAGGGACCCCACCTGCTGGAGGGACCCTGCTCACTCTGTAAACACTGAGGAGGGACTGCGGAGCTTGGCTCCAGGGTGTGTCCGGCCCGTTTTGTCCAGTTCCACCCCACCAGTCACCTAATTAATTTCCTTTCAGTGTGCATGAATCCATGCACTAGGTCACTAGTGTAATTATAATTGTATAGCAGTGGATAATGGAACAGCATTTTTATTCCAATTATATTAAACTTAATTGTAGGCTTTGGAATTCAGAAATAACAAAATATATTAATTTAAATCAGTTTCTGTTTTTTTCATAAAGAATATAATGGTTTGTAAAGCTATCTTATATATCTTAAATATTTTTTAATGTAAGTGGAGGTATAAATAATTATTAGCCCCTCTAATTGTTACATGGAATTGGTTAAGTAGGATTTAGGAGTAAAGATTTACAATGTGAGCCTGGCTGGTGTGGTTCAGTGGTTGAGCATTGGCCCATGCACGAAGAGGTCACTGGTTAGATTCCTGGCCAGGCCACATGCCTGAGCTGAGGGCTTGATGCACAGTAGGGGCATGCACGAGACAGCTGATTGATAGCCCCTTGCTTGCAAGGGGCACGCTTCATTCTTGCTTTCACACAATGAACATTTATTGAGTACTTCGTATGTGCTAGGTAGGTTCTAGGTACTAAATTACAGCTTTGAGGATATTCAGAATCTTATCTCATGGAGCTTATATGTATAGAAATAGAATAAACAAATTAACAAAGATAATTTCAATGATAAGTGCTACGAAGGAGAAAAAGGCAGAGTAAACCGTTAAGGTGACAGACTCCTTTTCTGTGGAGTTGGCAGGCTGCCCTCTGGGGAAGTGACCTCTGAGCAGATATGTGACTGCACAGCCTGAGGGGCTCTGCGACATTGAACAAGCTCGCTGTGTTCTCGAACATTTGTCTGTATCACCAAGACGCCCAGGTAGTTCACTCAGTTGTTAAGTTGAATCACTTACACATTGACACCCTTTGTGTTTAAATCACGCCTTTGCTGAGCAGTTTGTAGTTTCCAAAGTAAAGCTAACTGGGCATTTTATAATGGGCTAATTAGTAATACTGGCCTCATTAGTATGATGCCCTAATTTAGTTAAATGTCTTGTGTAAGTCACATTTTTATAAAAATTGTCATCATTCTTTAATGTCCACTGTTGTTTAGCTGCACTGTCTTGGATATAGGCATGTTTTCTCTAAGTGTGGAGTGGGTCTGTTACTGCAGAGCTAGTTTCTATGTGATCAGCTCTCTCATGTAATGAATGCTAGACATAAAGCGAATTAAAAACTATTGTTTGTGACTAATGACCAGGACTGCTCAGTCTGCTCTCCGGGCATAATTAGAGCACTTAACTGCGCTTGAATAATTGAAGAATAAACTCACTGATTGCCTAACATGTCTGTAGATTTGCATAGAGACCTTGAGCGGAGTCACTCTGCAGTGGCACTTGCAGCTCGCCCAGGGCTCTCTGTGCTGGCAGGCCTCCCTGATGTGCTAAGCTGTATTGCTCCAGTTAGGGTTTAATGTCAAATTAAAAAATTGCACTTGTGTGTACGATTGTATAACAGCTCCCTCCCAGGAAACCAAGTTTTATACTCGACTTGGCTGGGTTGCGTTTCAGTGATTTGTTTGAGGAATTCTTACACCGCGGAGATGTGAGCGCACAGCCTGTGGAGGAGTTTCTCTTAGCGCTCGCCTTGCTGGCTGACTTCTTCAGAAAGCCTCACTGGACTCCCATTATTGTTTTTAAAATCAAGTGTGCAGCCTGGCCTTTCCCGCTCACTGAGCTGGGTATGTACTATGTTTTCCACTAGACCTGTATCTAATTTATGGTAAAGGGACCACAAAAACAAAAATTATTTCTATTTTGGCACCTACCGCCATTGTAGTTAAGGGACTGCTGGCATTTTCTTAGAGAGGTTTATAACTTGGCACTTTTACTTGGCTTTGGGCCGAGACATTGCTATTTCTGTCCAAAAGCAAATTCTTTATACCAAATTTCATATGCGCTGTGGTTTATAACGTGTGGAGGGGGAAGAGCTGTCACAATAGGTCTTTGATGCTCTGCTACGCTGTTTGGTTACAAAGTAGAATTGTGTGTGGTTGTTTATGCATACATGTTAGTCTTTCCCTAATCTGATTTCATTGTTTTTAATGTTCTGAAATAAGTTGGTTTAACATGATTAATAGAATTAATTTTTATGGATTCTTCCCTTTAAAGAATTATATTATGTAATGATATTTTTTCATTCTTTTTAACTTATCAACTTCTTTTTTTTTAAAATATATTTTATTGATTTTGTACAGAGAGGAAGGGAGAGAGATAGAGAGTTAGAAACATCGATGAGAGAGAGTCATTGATCAGCTGCCTCTTGCACACCCCCTACCGGGGATATGCCCGCAACCAAGATACATGCCCTTGACCGGAATCGAACCCGGGACCTTTCAGTCCCCAAGCCGACGCTCTATCCATTGAGCCAAACCGGTTTCGGCTCAACTTCTATTATTTATTATTAAAGTAAAAAGTACTTTGTGGCATTGGTCTTTGTATGAGAGACTTGAAAAATTTTAAATAAAATAAGCCTCTCCTTGCACTAATTTGGTGGTATTTAAAGCTTTAGTGAAAGACAAATGTCATATGATTTCACTAGTATGTGAAATATGAAGATTAATATAAACGAACAAACAAAACCGAAACAGTCTCATAGATACAGTGAACAAACTAATGGCTGCCTGAGGGATGGGGGTTGGGAAGCTTTGTGAAAAAGGTGGCAGGAAGTGCAAATTGGTAGTTACAAAATAGTCATAGGGATGTAAAGTATAGCACAGGGGGATATATCTATCTATCTATCTATCTAAAAGGCTGATATGCAAAGTGTCCCTTTGGGAGTTTGTCTGGGAGACTGGGAGTTCTGAAAATATTAGGGGGAACATTTTGTATACACCTGAAACTAATACAAAATAATACTGAATATAAACTGATAAAAATAAAGTTAAAAATAAAGCTTTAGTAACTGAAATAATTAAAATTTTTTATAACTGTTTAATGGGCAAATCCATTTTCTTAAAAATAACATAGGACTCATCAATACTGATATACCAGAAATGGGTTCAATATGTTAGCCATTCACATTTACCCATAACTTCCCAGGCATACCCTGGAGATATTGCAGGTTTGGCCCCAGACCACCATGATAAAGCGAGTCATAATCTTTTTGCTGGTGGAGGGTCTTGCCTTCAATTTGTAAAAAACGCAACATCTGTGGAGTGCAATTAAAGCAAAGCG